ATTAATTTTTAATTTTTAATTTTTTCTATTATTTTTATATATTATATAAATAAATTATTATACTAAAATAGAAATAAATGTCCGAAGTCTTCTCTTGAATTGCTTCATTTTTCTCACTAAACCGAAAAAGACTCTGAAGCGAATCTGACACATTCGTTACACCCCAAGCCATCAAATTTGATATCTAATAACTAAAAGTGATGGTAAATGATCTTATAACGTACAATCACGTATTTTATTGTATTGTATGTCAGCTTCCGACATGACAAACACATCCTTGACTACAAATCATAACACAAAACTTTAGACTTACATACAAAATAGGTGATATCAAGTGGGCCACGTTTTATTGTCGCGTTAACGTGATTGAAATAAGTGATGTCATTGTGGTTTTTTTTATGAAAGAGAAATGGAAAGGGTATGAGTTGGCTCACATGAATTCTACTCTCAGTTTCGTTTTGTCATGTTTATCGTGAAGCAGATTTTTTGGTTGACACTCTTGCAAAAGAAGGGGCTTCATTGCCCACTCTAGCAATTTCTTTTGATGCAATTTCTTTTGAGTAGATTTGTTTAATAAAGTAAAGAATATTTGCCAAAAAAAAAAGAGTGAAAAAAGATAAAAATGCCAACGAATTTTCTTTGGATATAGCACGTTATGATTCTTCACTTCTCATATTAAAAATGTAAAACAAAGTTTATAGTAAATCGGACAAAGTTTATATATAAGGTTGCAATTTTATAATGTAAAATTAAAGACGAGCCTCAAAACTCCATAAGAAAATGTTATTGTAACGTTTAAAAAACCCTAATTGATCATCTCAAAATCGAGATGTATGAACATGGAAAAAAAAAAAAAGGATTTTGAGTCCTAGAAACAGTGCATCTTGCAACACATTATCTAGACCGTCCATTTTCAAGATTTTCATATGTTTATATATCCACTTGTTTTCAACCATTTTTTGTGTTTAAAATTTTATAGTTAGATATGAAAATAGACTTTCAGATAAGAAGATTTTTTAATTCCAAAAATTACATATTATGATAAAATTTGGAGGTACGCTTTAATTGGATTGTTTAAAGTAGCCGCACCCTAATAAATATGATCTTCTTTTTTTCTTTTTTCTTTTTTCTTTTTTCTTTTTTCTTTTTTCTTTTTTCTTTTTTTTTCGTATTTTATAATAATTTTAATGATAATGCTTAAAAGAAAATGTTAGAAAGTATTGGATTTTTAGCCACACGTACTAGATAACCCCAACATATACAAGACAACGTATGTCAATATCTATGTAACATTTATTTTGAATAGAGTTTTATGTTTATGAGTAATTTTAAATGTATAATAATGATTCTTTAATGCTTTAATAATTATAACCGTTGTTTCGTTGTTTTTCAATATCTTCCCATTTTCTTTATTATTTTATCTGTAAAACTGGAATTTGGTTTTAAAATCTTCTCTATTTTTTCTTGAATTTTTAATGCTATTAAATTTTATTAAGAAAAAGATTAAAATAATTCCAAGGCTTTATAGAAAGAAGTAAAGTCATACCTTAAAACCTATCGAAAGCTATAGTTTCAGTGTCGTTTATAGTCTTTTAAATAAATCTTTAGTTCTAATATTTTAAATTATATTTATGAGAATTTTTAGAAATTTGTAAAACTTATGGAAAAGAGATTTATCAAAATAGCTTTGAGAGATGAACTATTTAACATTTTACCCATATAGTTTGATTTAATTTCAAAATACCCATCAAATGACACATTGTTATGAGTTGGAATAGTTGCAGAAGCGCAAAATATCAAATGATATAACTTTCATGTGTATTTTGATAAATGTCCCTTTATTCCACCTTTAATGTTGCATGATGTCTATGAAATGCATATTTCGTTCATGATCACATTGTTGGATTGTTCTTGGTTAATTGGTGACTACCAATTGAGTTTTTCACTTTAGTTTTATATTAGACAATGGACATGACCTTTATGAGTCATACTCATATGTAGATATGACTCCCCTTTTTATGGTCCATTTTTTTAATGGATTTGGGACCTAATCTTCTAGGTATATAATTTCAAACATGGATATCATGAATGTGTAGAAATAATGAATTTTTTAAAATTAAAAATATTAATTTATGAAGGAGTATTTGTAAACTATAGATTGTCTTTTTTACAAGAGATCGCAATTCCACATCTATCATTAAGATATGGATGGGGTGCCTCGGTAGTCGCAAATTTATTTCATGCGTCCCTCGATACATAAACCACTTGTTCTGAGCAAGTTATACATGTCTAAACAAATAATGGATATCTTAAGTTGTGTCAAATTTTTAGTTAAATACATCTATATTATACTTTGATTCATTTTTTATTTCTTTTCATTTGAAATATGTCATTATCTTTACTGATTTCAATCAAACTTAGTATTTTATTTAGATCTTTAGCTGTTCAAATATTTTTGTCATTCTTTAAACAAGATCAAAAGAAATATAAATACATTTATATTATACTTTGATTCATTTTTTATTTCTTTTCATTTGAAATATGTCATCATCTTTACTGATTTCAATCAAACTTAGTATTTTATTTAGATGTTTAGTTGTTCAAATATTTTTGTCATTCTTTAAACAAGATCAAAAGAAATAAAGGGGTAGAGACATGGGCTCTTTTAGATTGTGGTTCAAAGGTAATTGACCTCATAGAATAACCCCATCTCTGCTCTAATAACATGTTACAAGTTGGAAATGACCGACCAATCCTTTGATTTTGGGGTTTGAAGTTTGGGTGTCGTTTCTATAAGGTTGCAACTTTAAACAATTCAATTAAAGCGCTCCTCTAAATTTTATCATAGCGTGTAATTTTTGTGTTAAAAAGTTCTTATCTGAAAATTTATTTTCATATCTAATTATAAAATTTAAAACTCCAAAAATAGTTGAAATCAAGTAGATTACATACAAAATTCTTGAAAAATGGACGGTCTAGATAATATATTGTAAGCTGCACTCTTTTTAGGACGCAATTTTTTTTTTTTTTTTTTTTCATACATCTCGTTGTCGAGATGATCAAGGGCTATAACTTTTTTCCAGTGGATCTTTGAGATGCATCTTTAATTCTAAGATTGCAAGTTCAGAATTTGAGAAGAGAGTAAATTAAATCCATGCTTAAACTAGTATTAGTATTGGTCATTTTTAAAAATTGGCAAGGTCAATTTTCCGAAACACAAATACCATTTGAGAAAGTAATGTAGGGAGTTGATTGTTTTTTTATTTGTTTTTTGAAGGGTACAGTCAACAATCATTTTTTCTTTTTTCTTTTGGCTTTTTGAATGGTAGACTCAACAATCATTTATTTATCGATCACGCGATTCACATGCAGTCGTTTATTGTCCTGTGGAGTACGCTACAAAATACAAGAAAACAAGAGACCTATTTTTTTTTTTTGAACGGGAAAACAAGAGACCTACTTTGTCTTTCAAGAACAGATTTCCCAAAATAAAAGATGTTATTTCCCATTTTTTGAATAATAGGCATTATCTATATTTTCCCTATATCTTTTGTTGGCAATTCGAAATGCAGAATGCAAGTCTTTAAGCCGTACTGGAACATTAGTTTTTTTAACGTAACGTTACGGTTATCTTGTGCAGCCCGTTATTTGACACCCTACTTCTGCATAACGTATGGTAACGGGTGCCGACCGTTTCCATGAGATGCCTCAAGAGTAAAATGTTGATTTACTCCCTCATGCAAAACTCCAACTAAAATTAGTTTTAGGACTCCAAATGTTGCGGATGTAACCTTCTCAACCCAATTAATCACACTAAAAAAATGAGAAATTATGATAAATATACTTCAATTTTTGACATATTAGAGTACTTTACTTTTTGACAAATTAGAAAAAACCTTCAACTTTCATGAAGTTCATTCAAACCCTTTTTTTTCAGTTTTGACATTTAAAATACTTCGAGTTATTATGGAATTTAAAATGCCATATAAAATGGAGAGTCATTACCATACTTAATGTTAGAGCTTCACAATAATACAACTACTGTGAATGCTATTTTGATAAAAAACAAGTCAAAAAAAAGGTGTGGACGAGGTTATGAAAGTTGAGGGTTTTTTTTTTTCAATTTAGAGAAAATAAGGTATATTTTTTATAATTTCCCTAAAACAATTTCTTAATCGTTCACTCGATGCAAATGAAGAAAAACACTCTATGCAACTAAAGAAAATGTGTCTTGCGATTGAATAAAGACCATTCAATTTTAAAG